TTCGTTGTCAGAGGTTACACGATCTCGCGCAGTTGTGCTGCGCTTCGAGATAACTTTTGGTTCGAACTGTACTAGACAATGACAGACGCCACTCGACGATGCTCTCTCTCGGTACACACGGCTCGGCTCTAGCGCGCGTTCCAGTTAGTATATATTTCAGTGACTTCATCAGACACATAAGAATTGACCAATGATAGTCGACTATTCTTACGACTACGACCATTGTAGACAGAACCGAGAATCATTGTAGCGGAGGCTTTAACCGTAGCGCGGGACGCGACCGAAAGCCGAAAGCTGTGGCACCAGCTGATCGGCAGCCGCGGTTCTACGCGCGTCGAGAAAGACTATGTTTTTGTGCACAATCCGCCCGAGCCATGTCGGATGCCTTTGAGGAAATACAAGCGATCAAGATAAAGAGAAACAGCTACCGTGAGAAACTACAGAAGAGGAAGCGCGAGAGGCATGAATTGTACACGCTCACTTCTACGCCGGCTTCATCTACCCTGACGGCGGAGTCGGCGTGCCCTGGTAACGATTACATTACGTTAACGTTTGTAGCGTGTAACGAGAGAGAGAGTGTCCGCCCTCGACTCTGATGTGTGAACCGTATTGCAGATTCTAATGCGTCTTCACGCTCGGATCACAGCGAATACGAGCGAGACGTACTTTGTATCCTGCACGAGTCCCTGCCTAGTCTGCCGATTACGTCCGCAGACTTGATAGACCAGCTGCGAAAGAATCTCAATGCCGACGTGTCCTCCTCGGACATCCATAAGATCCTGGAGAAGCTAGCTGCGCAAGATATAGTTAAGTTAGTAAGAATCGTCGTGTATTCCGTGGTGCTGTTCCATTGGCGACACATTTGATGTAAGAAAGTACCTTGTTTTCGTCCCTAGAGTCAAAGAAGTCACGGAAAATGGAGTGTTTGGGTACACAGTGTTGTCGGTGACGGAATCGCAATCGTCGTGTCAGTCCCAGTCCGACGACACGGAGAATACCGAGAGCGTAGAGATGGCCATGTCCGAATTGAACGACCATGTGCCTCCTGAGAAGCAGGCGAAGGTGGACAGGAAGAACACCGAGGATATCATGTCCCTGATCTCGATGCCGACTATCAGAGAGAAGGAGAGCAAGAAGGTTGGCGAGCAGATCCTGGACTTGCTGTCGAAGCAGACCTCCAAGGAGAAATCGCTGGCGGAACGATTTCGCTCGCAGGGCGGTGCTCAAGTCATGGAGTTCTGTCCGCATGGCACAAAAGTGGACTGTGTTAAATTGAACGGCGGACCGGCGTTCGCGGAGAAATGCAAGAAGCTGCACTTTAAGAAGATCATACAGAGTCACACGGACGAATCCTTGGGGGATTGTAGTTTTCTCAATACCTGCTTCCACATGGACACGTGCAAGTAAGGCCGCTACTATTTTGTCCACTGTACAATCAAATGAATTTCCTGACACAGATGATTGTAAACTCGACATTGATCCATAGTTATAGCTTTAGTTTAGACAAATCACACGTAGCTATCTCTATTTTTAAACCAAAGAAAATCTGGAGCCAAAGAGATGTCATTCTTTCTTTTCCATCTCGCACAGATATGTTCACTACGAGGTGGACGGTCCTACGGCGCAACCGAAAGAGACCAACGACTCCGACAGTCCGAGCAACACCGCGTCCAATAAGACGTTGAATTTAGATAGCAAAAACGGCAGCGGTGGCAGCAGCAACGTAGGCAGCGAATTAACTCTGTATCCGCCGCAGTGGATCCAGTGTGACTTGCGTTACCTCGACATGACTGTTCTCGGCAAGTTTGCCGTGATCATGGCCGACCCGCCGTGGGACATTCACATGGAGTTACCTTACGGTACCATGTCGGACGATGAAATGAGGCAATTGGGGATCCCGGCGCTCCAGGACGAAGGACTCTTGTTCCTCTGGGTGACCGGCAGAGCCATGGAGCTAGGGAGGGAATGTCTGCAGCTGTGGGGCTATGAGAGAGTCGACGAGATCATTTGGGTGAAAACCAATCAACTGCAAAGGATAATACGCACTGGTCGGACGGGTCATTGGCTGAACCACGGCAAGGAGCATTGTCTCGTCGGCATGAAGGGCAATCCTCGTATCAATCGAGGATTGGATAGCGACGTGATCGTCGCCGAGGTTCGTGCGACCAGCCACAAACCCGACGAGATCTACGGTATCATCGAGCGCATGAGCCCCGGCACCAGAAAGATCGAATTGTTCGGTCGGCCGCACAATGTACAGCCCAACTGGATTACGCTGGGCAACCAAGTGGACGGTGTTCATCTGATTGATCCGCAACTTATTAAAGCGTTCAAGAAACGTTATCCTGACGGAAACTCGATGAAGCCTACAAAGTCGTAAGATTATCAATAAAGAATTGAATGGAGAATAATGATCGAATTGTCCAAGAATTTCAATGTTAATGTTGAGAAGTTTTAATCAAGTTTTTTTTAAAAAAAGATGAACTATATCTCTTCTAATTACAATATACAATTTCAATGTTAATGTTGAGAAGTTTTAATCAAGTTTTTTTTTAAAAAAGATGAACTATATCTCTTCTAATTACAATATACCAAATTTAATGGACCGACTTCCAGATGTCTTTTTACATTATCAAGTACAATGTTGGTGTTTACTAATCTTCTCTTTTATTTTTCAAAAATTTAATAAATTGTGTCAAGATCTATTTAAATATCTTATAGATATATTTAAATATAACATTCATCGATATAAATTCAAGTCACTATATTTCATTAGTTTATTGTAAAAAAATTTGTATATAAATTCCACTTACCATTTAAATATATATGTTCAATACAAAATGAACGCATATAACTATAAATATAAAAGACTGACTTCCCGTGAATATTTTGAGATAGATATAACATTTGTACATATATATATTACATTATTTTTAGGCCATGCTTTTTCCAGCATGTATGTATACACGTACGTGTAAGTTGCTCTTCCTTAATAAAGTTAATTACCGAAAAACATCAATGCGGATAAAATTCCTGGAAAGGTAAAAATCAACTTTTACGACATATACATAAATTCATTTTAGCACATGGTCACTGGAGACCGTAAATGCACGCGTTAATTTCTTCATTTACATATAAATACAAATAAACCGAATCTAAATTTATATCACTGTTGTACTGGAATGTGTAATGCATTGCTATTTCGAAAAATTTCAATTATTGACAATTTTCAACTCGTAAAACAAATCTCGCAAAGATTGCAACATAAATAAGAATAATTCTTGTTATATTAATTTGGAATTTTTGTACTAATATGTACTGCTTGACGAAAGTTTGATCACACATTTTCTGAATAAATAAAGATCAAACCTCTGGCTGCAAAATACACACTGGCGTATGTTTCTACTGACCGTAGAAAACGTACCGAAAATATATGACATCAAAAGAATGACTTAAACGAAGCGTTGAGAATGAAGGTCGAGTCGCTACGTGCAAGCTTTTGTTTCGGTTTCCGATGCAAACCATGTTATTCCATCTTTGCAAGGTAATCTGATGAAACGTGACAATGTAATTTATTTATAATATAACACTGCTTTTAAGGGCTGTGCTCAGACTTTTGTCAAGCAGTGTGCCAACAAGAATGCTTCTTATTGAAGAGACAAAAGATGAATGAGCTTTTACTATATATATCCAATACTGTTGCGCTTCTGCTTAAGCAGACTCTTCCTTATGGAAAAGGAAAATAGGTTGTCGTGTATGCTGCTTGTGGAGGTTCTCCTGGATATCGACGTCCTCGCAACGCAATTATCTGGCACCGATAACTCTGTGTTGTTCAACAAGTTTTCCTTGTCGTCGGCGTTAAACGCTTTATCCGAAGTGCATCTAGAGTGTATCTTGTTGAACGAATCGACCCAGTGTCTCTTTTTGTGCCCGTCTTCCATCACGAAGGAAAATTCTCCGATCTTGCAGCAGATTTCGGCGGGATTTTTATCTTCCACTTGCACACACATCTGTTCCTTAGGTATGACGGGGAAGAGTAGAGTGTACTTTTTGGAAACGCGCCGTGTGGGGCGAGTTATCGCGAAGCAAGTGTCGAAAAGAAAGCAGTGATATTTCTGTAAAGACATTAATTCTGGTTAAAGAGAATCTATGTGAATAGTATCGATAAATGTTATCTCTTCTGTAAGAAACCGAAATGAAACTTACTACTCCACGAATATCTTTCAGCTGGCCCTCTGTAATCAATTCCGTGGCGTTGGCGATGCACTTTTCAGGATCGTGCTCGATCTTCACGTTTATCTTCGACTGAGCAAGCTCGCACTCGGCGTCGCCCATAATGCGATCGATATCCTTCAGCAAACCGGACAGCAAGTCACTCGCCTCTCTCAGCGGTAAATGATCCGCATCGCTAGCGGGTGTATATTTTAAGATCTCCTTAACCAACAACGGATACTTGACGATTCTTGAGCGCGGCACGTCCAGGTAAGTCCACAGGTCAGTGGAATGCGGTGATTCTAGGCGTTTCTTTAGAAATGACTGGAACCTCTTGTTGGTAAACCTCTTCTCCTCTAATAAATGTCTCGCCCAAACTAACGTTCTGCACCTTTCCAGATATGGTTTCTTCAACGTTGACAGCTGTAGACACAATAAAAGTAATGTTACGCACGACACGCACCGAGATGCGGTTCCGGCATTCTTGTCATTGATGAATCTCAGGTTCGTTCTCTCATTCCATACACGAGTTTTTAAATTCATGATGAACTAAAAATAAGAGACTGACAGAAATCTCCTTGGCTCTCTTAATTCGAAGTTGTACCGACAACTACATTTATATTTAACCAAATCTTTAGAAGACAGACTTAACAAAATACGCTGCTGAACTTAACTCAACGAGTCGCCACTGCTCCTACTTTAATACACAATTAATTTAATTAGACGGTAGAATTACAAGAAACTATAAAATGGGTTGAATAAAAGATGTAGTTGCGTTTTTAACACGAACTTGTGTTAAAATAATCAATTTTACTACACGTGATAGTTAAAAGTAACAATATATCGCGCAGGAGCAGTAGCGACTGCACACACTGAGTTAAATTTAACAGCGCGTGTCGATAAAAGAAAGAAAATTAACCCAATTTAATAGCGTTGGTCCCACAGCCTCTGTGAACCCGTATCTATCCCGCAACTTGAACAATTCGTCTCTCAGGTTACTGTGTATCTCGATGAGATTTGCAAGATCGCCAAAAAGCGTGGACAGCTCCTCGGTGTTAAAGATCTCGGCGGTTGACATCGGTTCGTAATAGAAGTCTCTCAGCATGCAGAGCTCGTTCAGCAGCACATTTTCGCCGCAGTACAACTCGTAAATGGCCTCTTGCCGCCTGATCTCGTTCCGACTCAATACGCTGTTAAGTCGCTCCTTACCGCGCGGCTGCGCGATATCCGACACCCAACTCCTGATCGTCAAATTGCTGCAGCTCTCGGTAGCGTTGTTCAATCTGAAATCAGGACACGGTTTACACCGAGAGGATCTTCCTCACAAGAGACCCCAACATCGAGACGTGTCCCCGAGCGATTACTTTTTGCGCAGCGTCCTCGTGTCCGCTTCGTTCTCGACGACGGACAGATCCGAGGAGTTCGGCTGGATCGTGAAGGATCTGTGCAGGACGCTTCCCGATTTGCCCGCTGCAGAGGCGGAAAATATGCTGCTGGCGACCTCCGTGATTCTGCGACGCTTCTTCTTCTTGCCCATGTCGGACTCCATGGATATGTCCATCGAGCTGACGCTCATCGCGTCGCTCTTCAGCCGCTTCCTCGATCTCTGCAGTAAGGTATTCGGGCGTTTAGACAGTAATGTCGAGAGAAACAAGAACGATCTGGCTTGGCGACGTGTGTGAAACGGCGCCGCGACGTCATTGTATGTCACACCGGCGTCATACGGTCTGGGGCTCAATCAGGAATCCTTTTCTCTAGTGAACTAACATTCTGTCTCGGGTCTCATATTATCGCTTCGTTCATTGATAAATATAAAGCTCGTCAATGAAAAACTTAATACATTTGCTGGCCAGTAATAAAGTAACCAAACACTTCAATTTTCCCTCGACGCAACTGGCAGTAATCTTAAATAATATACAACGTTTCGACCGATTGCACTTGTACATTCAGGATCTTTAGAATTGTTGCGTAAATTGACTGACCAAATACCACCCATATTAAATCGAGTGGACATTTAGTTGGTAAGTTTTTACCGTCTATTGTCATTAGTGACTCTATAATTGTTCAACACATAAATTGGTTCCCCACAGACGATTGCAATGGAGCTCAAGTTGTTCGATGTTTTGTACTGCAACACATACTGAGACACACTGAAATCAATCTAATACGGTGGATATATTTATTGTAAGTTTTCTTTGGAAGTGTATATTCTGTCATAGTTTTATAGTCATATTGACGTACATATTGGTACACTCCACAGATTTGTGCTTCGAGAGGGCCGCAATCCGTACGGTCGAAACGTTGTATATTATTTAAGATTAATAAAATAATGCCAGTTGCGTCGAGGGAAAAGTCAAGTGTTTCGTCAATGAAATTTTCTCACTTTTCACGAGTTTGCGCCAGGGAAGGATTCGCGATAGACCCAGTGAGAAATGATTCGTCGATCGACGTCGAAATGATGTCGAATCGACGAATCATTTCTCACTGGGGGAGTCTCAGGGTCTCGACCACGAATCTTTTTCTCAAACGTGAACCAAGAGCAAAGTGAAAAGTTTTATTGACAAATATTGGATTTCGTTAATGAAATCTCTCGCTTTTTCGCGAGTTCACGCTGGAGAAAAAGATTCACGGTCTGTAATTCTCTGCTCGATCCGGAAACATTTTATTTCGCGACCGGCAGACGTGTTTGAAGAATCTAAGTTGACAAATTGTACATTACACAACCGCACGATCGTGCATTGCTGACACAAGTTTCAAGCATAAGTTGACTCGCTTACGCAAAATCGGACGTCTCATAATCGCGAGGGGCACATTCGCGGGCCAGGCCTTCCGGTCGCGAGGAAAAGATCGAGGGAGGAAACACACGGCCCACGCCTGACGTTAATAACATTGACCGAATGTCGGTTACAGCGTCGATCGTGCCGGACGAAGACGTAAAGAGAAACCGGCGACACTCACCAGCCAGAACCTCTTCCGCGGCTCCTGGAACGTCTCCTTGATCGTCGTGTTGCACTCATCGTCCATCGCTGTTCTCGAATCGTTCAGGAAACGCGGAGAGAGGCTCGAAATTCCACGGACGGCCGGACTAACCGAGCCGAGTACGGTACCGCTGCATTTGATATTTGATTTCACGGGGCTCGCCGAGCGGTTGTAGCGGCGCCTCATCTACACCTCGCGCTGCTACACCTACGTCTTTTACACTCACTTGCGCGCGGCTTTGTGTGTCGAGAAAACGACATTATCGGCAGAGAGAAACCTGAGAGCGCGCGGCCACGCCGGTATCGTTTTACAATGATTCTCGGTTCTGTCTACAATGGTCGTAGTCGTAGTCGCTCGATGAGAATTGACCAATCGCAGTCGATTATTCTTACGACTACGACCATTGTAGACAGAACCGAGAATCATTGTGGCGGAGGCTTTACGCTCATTTTCAAGCACTGCCAATAAAGTCTCCACTTGGTGCGTGGTTTTTTGTTTTTCCCTTTACGGGGACGTCGTCACTGTCACTGTATCCAAATGCAACTTCATTCACGAATTTACACTTCCGTTTGTAAAGTCACTTGTCACCGTCACTGTATCCAAATGCCACTTTACTCACAAATTTACACTTTCGTTTGTAAAGTCACTTAAGTCACTGTCACTGTATCCAAATGCCGCTTCTTCGGTTTTCACACCCGCACAAATCACTGACACAAACCGCGGGAATTCAACGATCGCACGATGATATCGATGATTCATTATTCGCAGAGAGCGATCGCGGTTTCTTCCCGCACTTATAGTCGCGAACGCGTATCGAGAAAGAACAATACGATATGCGAAGCGGCGCGGAACAGCGCGGAACGTCCGCCTCGCTCGACTGACTCGCGCCGACTAAGTAATTCGACACAATAGATTGTTTTCGATCGAGGGGCGAGGTGTTGACGGACGCTACGTCATTTCTTGGAATCCGCGCTCGGTTTTTACGGTGTTTACGGCGCCGTACGAAGGATCATTCACGCGGCGACGGTCGAATCGGTCGGTTATGCCCGCGCCGCTTCGACACAATAGATTGTTTTCGACCGAGGGGCGAGGCGTTGACGGGCGCTACGTCATTTCTTGGAATCCGCGCTCGGTTTTTACGTTGTTTACGGCGCCGTAGCCCGTACCGTAGGATCATTCACGCGGCGACGGTTGAATCGGTCGGTTATGCCCGCGCCGCTTCGCATATCGTATATGTGAATCCAGCCTGACAGTGACAAGTGACTTAACAAACGGAGGTGTAAATTCGCGAGTGAAGTGGCATTTTGGATACAGTGACAGTGACAAGTGACTTTACACACGGAAGTGTAAAGTAAAAGAGGTAAACATACTTTTGAGTTGCAATGTGCCGTAATTAAACTTGTAGATTGTTGAATTCCTTGAGAAGGACCGCAACGCCGTATGGTCGAAACGTCGGATTTAAATAAAGGCCTTCACACATAAAATTCCGTAAGGACGTAAAACGTAAGCGTAAGAAAATCAACAGATTGGATTTGCTACTGCCTGCGATAATTGCCTTACGTTCTCGACTGTGATCGATTTTCTTGTGCTTACGTTTTACGTCCTTACGGAATTTTATGTGTGAAGGCCTTAAAGAAACCATCCGCCAGCCTAAAGTCGTCTAACAATTCTTTTTATCGTTAATCAACTATCTGGCGATTCACGTTTAATACTTTTTATTCGCGATACTTTTAGTATTCTTTGAATAAATTTGCCACTCACACGAATAAATTTTTCGAAGCTTCGAAGTAATTCAAAGTTTCGAAGTACGAATGTCGAAATCTTTTAAATTCTCTCTCTCTCTCTCTCTCCCCCCCCTTTTTTGTATGCTCTATCTCGTTTCAGGGATTCGGTCGGTAATCCATCTCTCATGATAAAAGACCGGTTAACGAAATAAAACTCACCTTGCATAGGATTATATTCTCGAGAATAAAACTTTGATCAATAATGTATGTGACAATTTCCGAGAATTATCTACGGATGTCATCGGTAAGAACTTTACCGATTCCAACCGCGTTAGACCGGTACGATTCACGGGTCGAGACCGCCGGGACATTCGCAACATCGCGTACATACGTATGTAACATTTATTGTTCACGTTCGCAGTCTGATTTACATTGGAGCCCGTGCGGCCGCGAAACTCGGCGTCGCCGGGTATAATACATATGTTTTTAATCATCTTCGTGTGTTTCGTCGTCTGGACGCTAATTAGGTAGGAATCGATTCGCCATCGCTGGCTGCGGGATATAATAGTCTGACCGTGTAAAATTTTCGCTGTTAATTGCGAAAGAAAGGTAATAAAACAACATTGAACATCATCCTACGAGGTTAGGAAATCTGCAATACCGACTGCGACAGTAATTCGTTGTCCGTCGACCAGTCGTATGTCGAGAGTATTTTTTTAAGTTAGGTTATGGTTGCTATGGTCTTTCGGAGTTGCGCGATACCCACGTTGGAATGCATGCTATATTTATCTCGAAAGGTAGCGCGATTCAAGCTGCGAATCTAAAAATAAACTAACAAACGCACTGTTATCGCCGACAAATGTTGCTGACAATGTAACCAAGTCTGTTTCCGTTTCGTTACGGTACACGAGCGGTAATCGACAAAGTAATCGTCGCACCCTATTGTTACGCTCGTAAGCGCCGCGACAACGATTTTTTAACATTCATCGTCGTCTACGACGCGTGGAGTAAGCCTGGCGTAAGGCGCAAGGGTGAACCATAACCTTTAGCCCTCGGTGCAAGGAAGCTAAAGATACAGGCGTAATTTTGAAAATATTCGTAACGCCAGCCGATGGCGTTCCGATTCACCGAGAGTAAGCGTAACGATCGTCGTCTACGATGCGCGGAGTGAGCCTGGCGTGAGGAGCAAGAGAGAGCCGCAACCTTCAGCCTTTGGTGCAAGGAAGCTGAAGTACAGGCATAATTTTTCTTCAATATTTTAACACCGGCCGATGGCGTCCCGATTCACCGAGAGTGAGCGCTGAAGTGGGAGTAAAAAATAAAATTTGATTCGTTTCCTTACTCCAGGCTTACTTTACGCATCGTAGACGACGCATAAGAATCGTGTCGTTAATTGTGCATGTATTACTTCAAATATACATATTTATATGGATATCAAATGTATTTAAAAGATAGATTAGGGTAAATGTTGCTCGATACTGTTAGATAAAGAACAAAATGAGAGGGAAATGTTTTCTGATTTTCTTTTTTTTTGCAGAATGGACAATGGATTGACTAGCACAGACAAGAAGAAGGGGAGAGACAAAACGACAGGGCAGCTTAATGCAAGTACCGAGCGTAAGGCGTCCGGATGCAATTGGGAGACGTACAAGAGCCTGTTTTCTAGAGCGAAGACAGAAGAGAGCGCTGGGGAAAAGAGTGTCTCGCAGAACAGGCGTCCGAGGATTAAGAAAGTATACACTACTCCACTTTATATGGTAAACAGAATTCATAATACTGCATCGAATGTGTACGCTGGTCTACAGCACTGGAGTAAGCCTGGCGTGGAGGAAGAGTAGGAGTAGAGAAATAAATCGATTTCATTTCTTATTTCTACGTCAGCTCTTGCTCTCAGCGAATCGTAGCGCGGTCGTGCCAGTAACTTTTAAATGTTTTAAAAGTTACGCCTGTGTTTTAGCGTTCCTGCGCCAATAGATTACGGTTCTTCTACGCCTACCCTTAATGCGTCGTCTACAATGCATGGAGTGAGCCATGGGGTAAGGTGTAGGAGTAAGGAAGTAAATAATTTTTATTTCTCACTCCTACTCCAGCTCTTACGCTTACTCTCGGCGATAATCGGAACGCCATCGGCGAGTGTTGAAATATTTTAAAAACTATGCCTGTATCTCAGCCTACTTCGCCTTCAGGCCTGAGCAGAATTTGTCTTGTACTCGTGCGACAATGTTTTATGTTTTGTTTAAGTCTTTGTCTTAAAGTGAATCACTGTCTTAAGAGTACAAGACAGCCGTTCCTCTCAGGCCCGCCCAGGCTTACGCCGTTCATTGTAGACCAGCTTTCAATGTCATTGGTGAATCGTATTCCTTGGCATGTGTCCGTCAAATTGCAGGAGCCACGGGAGGAAGGCGGCAAGGACAGTGTCGTCAGGAACAAAGAAAACAAGACTCTGACGAAGCAGATCGCCATGGACTGCGAGATGGTCGGTATCGGCGAGCACGGCGTGGAAAGCATGATAGCCCGGGTGTCAATTGTAAATAAATACGGCGATTGCATGTACGACAAGTACGTCCAGCCGAGGGAGAAGGTCGTGGATTACAGAACGGCGATCAGCGGCATCCGGCCGGAGCACTTGCGGAACGGCGAGAGCTTCGGCGTCGTGCAGAAGGAGGTGGCGGACATCCTTAGGGGCCGCGTTTTAGTGGGCCACGCGCTGAAGCACGACCTCAACGTGCTGTACCTGTCGCATCCGCGCAGATATTGGCGGGACACCTCGAGATACAAGCCCTTCCGGCAGATATCGAAGGGCAACACTCCCAGCCTGAAGAAGCTCGCGCACGAATTGTTAGGCAGGGAGATACAAGTGGGCGAGCATAGCTCCGTGGAAGACGCGAGGGCGGCGATGCAGTTGTACATGTTGTATAAAAATAAGTGGGAGTCGGGGAGGAAACACTGACGAACGGACAATGTCGCGGGGGAGATATTCCATTGTCTTTTCGAGTCTTTCGCGGGACGTGTCCGCGTAACAAAAAGAGATACGTCACCAAGTAAGACAATCTTATGAGACCCAAGAACAATACAGTGCTACTTTTGCCATTTGTATTTGTTCGATCGTACGATCATGCTTTATTAAACGGTTATACTTGATATTAAGTTGTAATAGTATATTCTATTCTAGGTAATAAATCGACATATACATTTTACTGTATATAGAGGTAAGCACGTCATTTGTATCGCACGACATAATTTCAGTCAGTTATTGTTTCTTCCTCTCGACATTTTCTAAGCTAACCGACGTCGCATTTGGGGATAGTCGCTCATATAAGAGAGGTTGAAGGTCTCGGCGCGTTCGTTTGGTAAACACGCGGGATATACGACCTTATCGGTATCAGCCTTATCCCCCTTTCCTTAATGATCGCTTAATACCGTACTCGGTCACTTTGCTCCTCGCTTCAGCTGCGACACGTGCACCGCGCACTCCGCTGATTCTCGTTTTCGTGCGAGCGCTTCGTACTTTTCCATCGGTGAGTAACTAGATTGTACTTTATCAAAACTTTATCTTGAATTTGATTAACGCATCGCGACGTCTGTCTCTTATCACGTCTCGTCAAACGCGTTCTATTTGGGCATATTTAACGTACAAGTTAGTCGTATCTTCAGAACCTTGACTCGCATCCACGAGATTCAACGTTGAGCGTGAGAGGTTTCAAACGATTTATATTGAGAAAAAAATAATATGAATACTTGTATTTTTTCTTAATACGTGATAAAGTGCACGGAGGAAAGAACGATTCGACTTTCGATTGGACCTGTTGCACCTTTCACAAGTCTAGCCGGTTCACCCGTGCCGTTGCGACCGATTTCGACAGGAAAGGTTGCGTAAGTGGATCGCGCGGGTGCGCGCTCGTTCGTAGATCTTTATTCATTAATTTCCAAGGTTGGGAAGTAACTCGTTACTTGTAACGAAGTTACAGTTACTTTAACTTAACTTCGTTACTTTCTCCCCGTCCGTAACTTAACTCGCACAGTTTACATTAATAGTTACTTTATATATATTTAAACCTCCGCAGATCGCATTAGGCCTTGCATGAACGCCTTTATCGATCATTTACAATTCAAATGCAGATTTGATATTTTTATTTTTATTGCAAGAAAGCAACTGCCGAGTAACGATTCGTTATTTATTGAGTAACTGTAACTAGAACGCGTTACTTTTCAGAATTTGTAACTTGTAACTGTAACTAGATACTTTTATAAAGTATGTATTATATATTTCCCAGCGCTGTTAATTTCTCGTTAATTATTAAGAAACTCGCGCAACGGCACAGGACTTCTAATTCAGTTTAATCTGTTTTACTTATCTACAGAGACGAAACAGTTACCAGGCTTCCTGTATAACACTAATCCATAGAACGACTCGTCACCTACTACTGCATCAACATTTCATAACCGATTAATAATATTCCAACAAAAAGTGACTCAAGATTCAATAGATTAAAAATCAAAAGAAGTAATATGAATCGAGCCGGTTATCAATCTTCTCTCTCTCTTTCTCTGGTTATGTATTATAATTTAAATAAAAATATGTAAGTTAACGTGGCAATCTTACGGGGATTAGCGTTATAGTATCATTGAAATGATTCAACTAACAAAATTGCTGCGCTACTCGTACGACATTTGTAAACGATTCAACAAATTCGAACTTGCGCTCACACTTAACGATTTTAGTAAATATTTATTGCTACAATTATTGTTGTTCATGACCTGCGCACTGCAGATAATTTTATCGCATATTACAGGTCAAAACGTTCGGCACAGTGTTTATTTTTATTTAAATTATGATAACTGGAATACACTAAGAACTAATTCGGCTTATTAGTCCATTTTATTTCTTTCGAATAATATTTTATGTAAAATAACTATAGGATGGGCTTCTCGCGAATTAAATAAGCAAATAGATAGCTTTTATCATTCTCGACCGGAGCACGTTTATCGTCTCAGCTTGTGCGTTTAATTATCTCTTTCTCGGTAAAAATAGAAAGCAAGAATATTAATTGAGTCTATCAGAAACCAAACTGATAGACTACTACACTGTTTCTTAATTTTACTACCAGAACACATGACTAGTTCATAATTTTATCGATTTCCGTTTATTTTACGAATTGATTACGTTGTTACTTAATTATTCCTAGTAGCACAGTGCATTGGTTAAACAATGGCTAAATATTGGTCCGATGTTATATTAGAATGCATTGGCCGATATCCCAGTGAGAAATGATTTTGTCGATCGACGAATCATTTCTGACTGGGATTGTCCAACGTAAAGCCAATATTGGCCGTGGAATAAATGTAAATATTGTACGATAATAATTATACAATATTAGATTTATATTGGACGCCCATTGGCCAATATTTAACAATGTAATAAGAATATTGGTCCAATATTGTATCAACATTAGACCAATATTGCTAAATAAGAGAAGGCGTCCATCTTACAATATCGGATCAATACTGGAAATACTAGATTTACATTATTTCCCAATATCGCGCCAATATATTGTGGCTACTAGGGATTCCTCCGAGTCTTATCAGAGAAAAATCGCCGGCAGAAGGAATGATAAAGGCGAGCGCGATAAGTCGGGGATATCCGTGTATTACAAAAATGAATAGCACGATCATGCTTCATTAACTATGAAATAGGCCGGCTGATATAGCACTTTCGCTGAAAGCGCCAACGAGGGATCCACGTGTTCTGCGAGGCTTGAACAGCTAACAACCGCGCAATCATGAAAATCGCCGTGATCGGCGCCGGAGCTGCGGGGCTCGCCGCGCTCCGGCACTGCGTTTCCGGCACTTACGGCGATCAGGTGGTGTGCTACGAAAAAACAGATCAAATCGGCGGAACCTGGGTGTACCGGGAGGAAACTGGTTCCGATAGATACGGTTTGCCGATTCACACCAGCATGTACAAGAGCCTGAGGTACGGCCGCGTATTCCTAGCAGGCAACTTTCGTTTTCTGGACAATACCTGGTCCCGCACAGAGAATATCATATCAATAATAAATTCAACATTTTTTTATTTTCATTATCAATTTCACTCCTATTTTTCGCGTCGTTAAAGTTGAACTTTTTCACGAACACTTTTACAGAGATGAATCCTCGATTAATTTCTCATCCCGATATGCGCGGATCCGATGCAAGCTGTTGGATTTTATTGATGAAAATCGCATACCTGGTTTATTATTTATTTTAGAACCAATTTGCCGAAGGAAGTGATGGGCTATCCGGACTTTCCGGCACCGGAAGGACCCGAGAGCTACCTGACGCGCACGGAGATTCTGGATTTTCTGAATGCGTACTGCGATCATTTTGCGCTACGCCCTCACATTCGGGTGGGTGTAACAGTCACGCAAAGTTGCGCCTGCATCAAACGATTACATTTCATTCGAATTGTCATTAAACGCGAATTTACAAGCATTATTATTATTAGTCGTAACATCATTATACTAGATTAATTATACCACTAGTTTATATTGTAATATCAACATAATAATAGCGGAGAGTTCCCTATTATGAGATAAGGGTTTTTGCTAAATTAATAGGCATTCTATTGGTTTCATCGTGCATTTATTTCCCTTGGATTGAAATTCGTTTAGTGGAAAATTCACTGTTAGATCGTGCAATCGTTGCGAATAGAGAGATTTGTAAATAAATTTTGATGTCGAAAACCTGCTATTTCATATTAGAAGCCTGTCTCATAGTAGAGGACTTTCCTCTATTAATATTACTGTAACTAGATCGTGCGATAATAATGCGAGCTTATTGTGGCGTAAACATTGCAGCTGCTGCATAATGTAGAACTGGTGAGGCCGGTTGCGGGGGACCGGAAGTGGTCGGTCAAGGTCAGGGACTTGCAGGGGGACGTGGTGGTGACCGAGCCGTTCGACGCGGTCATGGTGTGCAACGGCCACTACTTCGAGCCCAGGATCCCGAGTATGTCCGGCCAGGAGGTTTTCGCGGGCAGGCAGATGCACAGCCACGATTACAGGGTACCGGAGGTCTTCGACGGCAAGAATGTCGTCGTCCTGGGAGCCGGTCCTTCCGGTACGGAATACGCGCGACGTTACACGCGAGATCGCGCGCCACATACGCTTCTGCAACGAGACCATTTTCTTCTGCGCGCGCCTCCAGCGACTCGTGCAACCCCGGGATCGTTAACGTTTTCCTTTCGCGGCTCTTAATGACAAAAAGCTCGCGCAGCTATTCGCGGCGATTAAAACGCAGCGCCTTTCTGTTCCCCCGCGGTAGGTATGGATTTGGCGTTGGAAATATCCAGGAATGCGAGTCGCGTGATCCTGAGTCATCACCTGACCGAAAGCATCGCCACCGTATTCCCCGAGAATGTCGTGCAGGTAAGAGCGCGCGACCAGAAAGAAAATAGTAAAATCGCGCGCGGTTGGTGCCTTCTTAGCGGCCGTGACGGTGTTTCTTTTTTAGAAAGCTGACGTAGTGGAATTGACGGAGCGCGAGGCGGTTTTTGCGGACGGGACGAAGGAGCAGGTCGACGTCGTCTTCTATTGTACAGGTAGATCCCCTCTCCCCTTCTCTAACTGCGGAATCGCTGCGGGGAACACCGCCTCGTTCTAACAATTAAAACAACACGTCTCTCCCCTTAAAAGGCTACAAGTACAACTTCCCCTTTCTCGACGAATCTTGCGAGGTCCGAGTGGATTCCAACATGGTCACGCCCCTCTGGAAGCATCTGGTGTCCGTAGAGAACCCTACCCTGGCGCTAATCGGCCTTCCGTTCTACGTGTGCGCCTTTAGCATGTTCGATTTGCAGGTACAAAAGCTACTTCTCGCTAATCGTCTTGCTAAAATGTACAAATCAAATACTCGGGAAACGAGATAGCCCGATATGGCCCGAGCAGGACGTAGGTAGCCCAATATTCTATGTGTGAATTCACATTTCCGTTTTCCAACCCGTTCTCCGCGCCGTTACTTCCGATCATATAAGTCCCAGTCTACAATAGATGATTTAAGCCCTAAGCTTTAAGAAATTGGCCAATCACGGTCAAGTATGAGTAGAATGCGCGACTGTGATTAGTCAATTTCTTAAGGCTTAGGGCTTAAATCTCTATTGTAGACTGGGACTAACACAGCTTTGTCGGGTGGACCATTGTTTTGTCAGTAAATTCCCATTTGTTTTAAGGACAACCGATTTATGTTGATGCTTACGAGCATACAATTCTCCCTCCCGTCACTGTAAAAAATTCTTATTGCGAAAAGTATTACAATACCTACGTCTCTCCCTCGGTGACAAGTTTGTCTTGTAAGTGGCGTCCCGCGTTCTAGGTCGTACATTGTGCCGCGCGTTTCAAATTGACAACCCGGGGAGCACGGTCAGACGTACAAAGGCCGCGCGCAATCCGCTTTAGACACGCGACATTCCAGGGCCGCGCGCGGGGCATCCGGAGCGGATGAGATTGTCTGCGAGCGCGGCTGAAAGGAACGCGGTCGCGCGCAACGGGAGAAAAATGCTAGAAAGTCGTCGCCGTCGTCGCGCATCCGGCGTCGACCGGCCGGCGGCGCGCGGCGCGACACCGCGTGTTTAATGGCAGGATTGCGATTACTTGCAATTCCCAGGTGCGATTCGTCCTACGACACTGGCGCGGCGAGAGGCAGTTTCCCGCGCGAGCGGATATGCTGAGCTCCGAGGCGGAGGAGGCGGCGAGACGCGCTGAGAGAGGTCTGCAGAAGAGACACTTTCACATGATGGGCCCCGAGCAAGGTCACTATTACGACGACCTGGCGAACGTCGCGGGGGTCACGCCGCTGCCGCCCGTGCTGACGAAGCTCCACAACGACAGCAGCATGCGCTTCCTCGACGACCTAGTGCACTACCGGCAGGACCGGTACAAGATCGTCGACGATTATAATTTTGTTCAGCTTTAACGGTCGTTCAGAGGATTGGATATTTTTCAGTCGTGAATTTTGTACCTCATTCAAGTATCTGGGGATACTTGTGCATTCGAAATCGTAAGAGGGACGTTCGCCGCCTGTTCCCGCTTGTAAATCAATCCTTGCTCTTTCGCGTGTCAAATTTATGCGGATTTCTCTGCCGTTCAAACATGTGCGATTATCCTTTTGTAGCGATTAGAGTTACTCCCGTGTTAATATCTTTGTCTACGAAGCTATGATTCTGTTATGATTATCTGAAACCTTTAAGTTGCTAAATTACTCGTACTAGCGAGGATATTTAAGTTTGAGGAGTATAAACGATAAACGTGTGGTCTAATTTGTCTTATGCAAGTCGCAACTCCGATACAGTAGATCTTGTTAATTATAAATATCTTTTGAATCACAATGAAACACAAATTCCATTTAACGGCTGAAGGTCCTAACGACATATATTTCATTTTGCTTACAAAACTTTTCCGACATATCGTACTTGTAACATGTCATATTAAAATAGCTCATTTCTAACAACTTCAGCCATAAATAACGTAAAATTGTGACGTGATAGAGTAATTTAGTAATCAGAAAGAAGTTTAAATAAAAACAAGAAAAATCTAGGAAATGACTGAACAATTCCGATTAGAATCTGTTTCGAAAATTTCCATTATTCGGATGCTTCCTTCCTATCTCGGATTCCTAAGAAGAATCCAGATAACATGTCTAAAAGACATTTTTAAGACGTCTTTAACACGTCTTTTAGACATCTTTTAGACATACACGTCTAAAAGATATCTTAAAGACGTCTTAAAGATGTCTCTTTTAGACAAGCATGTTTTCTGGGAAGCTTCGTAGATAACAATCTGACAAGCATTTTAACGTGGAAGTAACGTTTTTGACGACATTTTAACGTGAAAATTATGTTTTCAACAACATTTTAATGCGACAATGATGTCTTTGACGACATTTTAATGTAAAATTGATGTTTTTAACAACATTCTAACGTGAAACTAATGTTTTTGACGACATTTTAACGTGAAAATTATGTTTTTAACTACATTTTAATGCGACAATGATGTCTTTGACGACATTTTAAGGTAAAAATAATGTTTTAACGTTATTTTAACTTGAAAATAATGTTTTAACGACATTCCAACGTGAAACTAATGTTTTCGACGACATTTTAACGTGAAAATTATGTTTTTAACAACATTTTAATGCGACAATGATGTCTTTGACG